ATTTTTACACTTTTTACAATATCGCTATCAATCGCCATATGCAATTACGCAATCGCATGGAACGCATAGATTGCGTTCCGTTTCGCACATTATGCGCACGAATTACATAGAAAACGTTCCGTTTCACTCAATGCGCGCATGAACAGCGCTTAGAATTCCCTAGATCCCCACCACCTGCAGCGCATAATACACGCACCAGCTACCTCAAGTTTGAGTTGCAGCAGCTTATGCGTTCCATGCGATTGCGTAATTGCATATGGCGATTGATAGTGATATTGTAAAAAGTGTCAAAATAGGAAGAGTCATAATGGAAGAGTCATTGATGATTCACTACTATTACTGTCACTCATTTCATCAATTAAAAACATTGTCACATTGATAGCGCAATTTATTGTGGAATCCATTTTGAGCCGGTATTCATAGTCCGTTTTTATATTCAAGATCGTCTTAAGCACGAACTTATATTCGCTCTCTTCGTCAGACACAATCTATATTTGACGAAGAGAGCGAATATAAGTCCGTGCTTAAGACGATTTTGAATATAAGAAGGGACTATGAATACCGCCCTTGATTTTCCGCTTCTAATGCGTTCAATATCGTTCCGTTTCAAAGCATGTATCATGCGCATAATGAAACAAAACGCAGCCAATGCGCTAAGCATTAGCGATGCGAACGATGCGTGCTATGCGCAAAACGGAACGCAACCATAAGCTGCTGCAACTCAAACTTGAGGTAGCTGATGCGTGTATTATGCGCTGCAGGTGGTGGGGATCTAGGGAATTCTAAGCGCTGTTCATGCGCGCATTGAGTGAAACGGAACGTTCTCTATGTAATTCGTGCGCATAATGGGCTTGTTCGTTTTAGCTGCACTGGGGCAGCTCTGGGTCTGCTCTAAACAAGATAATACAGGACAAACTATTTATCTGTCCTGTATTATCTTGTGTAGAGCAGACTCAGAGCAGCCCCAGTGTAGCTAAAACGAACAAGCCCAATGTGCGAAACGGAACGCAACCGTAGTGTAATAAAGCGCGACGGTCAAATATATGCAGATTATCGTTGTAGGTTATGTTTATGTTCTGTCAGTTTTGTGTTTGAATATAAAAACGAAGAATATGTTATATTTGAAGTTTTATATCTGAGTTTAATGTTATTTACTTTTAGGTAGAATCTGTTATTTACTTTTAGGTAAAATGAATAATGTAAAGGTAGCTGGTTTAGTTGTGATCATCAGTTATTTAAGCAAATTAATATTCTTTGATCAAAGCATTGACAACAATGATGAAGAAGATAGCGACGAAGAAATAGAATTGTATTTGCACAGATTAAAAGTCCGCATTAATAATCCAGCTACCAGGCCTCATCGCATTAAAGGTTTTATCGAAAGAGTTGTCGATATGTCTACTGCTTCCGAATTTCAAAGTCACTTCAGAATAACTATGACAAGTTTTCAGTGGCTTCTAAATCGAATAGCCTCTCTATTACAAAGTGCTCGAAAAGCTGGACATCAAACTACAGATCCGAAACGACAATTACTCGCCTTTTTGTGGCTATTAGCAACACCAGACAGTTTTCGGTAACTAAACAAGTTATGAAAAGTACAAAATATTAATTTAGTAGTTAACATTTTTATTATTCTGTAGATCAGTTGGTTGTCGTTTTGACCTAGGAAAGTCTACACTATCTGCTATTTTTATGCGGATTGTGATTGCTTTAAATAAGATTTCTTCAGAAATAATATTTTGGCCAAATATTGAGCAACGCCAATGCATAGCACAATCTTTTCAAGCTTCTGCTGGAATAGAAAACATAGTTGGTGCTATCGATGGAACGTATATTCCTATCAAGGCTCCAAGTGTAAATCCGGATGTCTATATTAACAGAAAATGTTTTCATGCTATAACTCTGCAAGTAATATGCGATAATAAAATGTCAATTCTAGATTGTTTTGCGGGTTATCCTAGCAGAGTATCAAATATAAGGATTTTTCGAAATTCGCCAATATATGAAGATTTTATGAATCATCCAAATAATTATTTTGATAAAAATCAATTTATTATCGGGGATAAAGCATATCCCGTTTTGCAATGGTGCATACCTCCCTACATTGAGAGAAGAAATGTTACCGAAAGGCAAAAACATTTCAATAATTGCCACGCCAAGTCTCGCCAAGTAGTTGAACGTTGTTTTGCCCTTTTATTTGGACGATTTAGGCGACTGAAATATCTTGATATGAATCGAACAGACTTCATAGCACCAACAATAATTGCTGCATGCGTTTTACATAACATATGCTTAAATAATCAAGAAAATCAAGAAATACGAGACATGTTTATAGCTGAAGAGCTTCAGACAGTGGTGAATAATGCTGGCAATGTTAATCACGAAGCAGTTAATTATGACAATATAAATGCACAAGATTTGGGAAGAGAAGGTCACGCATTGCGGGACAGGATCGCAGAAAATTTGTATCCATTTCTATAAAAGTTACAAATTTCATGAATTATTGGTTTCATTTTATATCCAATCTAACGATGTCACTTTTTACATTTACAATTTATTATTCTGTATTTTCAATCTTTTTCAAAAATATAGTTTTATTTAAAAACTTTATTCATTGTAAAAAAATTACATTGAAAAACTATGTAATATGTAATAAATATAATTAGTTTTCCTTAAAAGCTACTTCAACACAAATTATCTCAACTCAAATAATTTTACTTACAAGCTACTTTAATGTTAATTATATTCGAAATGTAATATGTTAAGTTTCTTCGCAATACTTATAGGTAATAAAAGTAGTATCATATAAATTTCAGTCTTACTTTTTACAACAGAAAAAGAAAATAAAATAAAAATAACAAAGCTCGATCAAAAATTCTATTCCAGAGTTGCCACAACTTTGGCTCCATAAGAGTGATAATTGCACTTTTAAAAAATTACATAATTTAGATTTCTTTGTACTACATATATGACAGCTCTGGAACAATGTTTTCGATATACTTCTGTTTTATAATTCAATATATAACAAAAAACTTAAGCTGTTGTAAAAAGATGTTAAATATTTCATTTCTTTGGTATAACAATTTCCATTATTTTAGTGATCTAGCTTGCAATACATGTCATAAATTTATGACCCTTAGGAAGTAATAGAACTATAAACTGATTAAGAATCTCATATTAAAAACAAAAAATATTTTATACCTTTTAAGTTTGATTACTGTAATCGCTTAAAACAAAATGTCATTAGCAATTTTTAAAAATAACAAAACAAAAGAAAATATAATATTAACCTTATCGGAATAATTAACTTTTCATATTTGATAAGTTTGCAAATGAATTTGCAATATTTTCTAAAATTTTTAGAGCTGCATCTTGTCGAGCTAGTAACTCATCATGACGTTTTTCTTTCTTAGTCTCTCTTTGTTTAAAATTTTGTTCGTATGTACTTAGATGTTTTGCTAATTCACTTTTTTTTTCTTCGGCTTTTCATTTTTTATTTTTGTAATCTCTTCATCGTCACTGGAATTCGTCACTAAATTTTCTTCAGTTTCAACCGATGACGTCTTCGAAGCACGTTGAATCCCTCGTGAAGAAGATGCAGTTGACACTGGCTGCACGTCAGGATCCTGACTAAATATTTCATCCATTTCAAAGAAATAATTGAATTTAATCGTACCTGCGCCACTGCTCTTTTGACCCATGTTATCTTTTTTTTCCATATATTTTTGTTTTAAATACTTAAATTTGTTTTTTATTTTCTCAGTTGTGTGCATTGGTAACTGTTGAGCTATCATATCCCATACTTTATCATTTTTTATTGTCGTGCTTTTAAATAAATGTTCATGGGACTTATATAAGCCTATTAGCTCTATAATCTCTTTTCGATTCCAAGAAGTTCTGCTTGTAGTATTATTATTTTCTTGTTCACTATCTGTAATAAGGTCAGGTCTGGAGATCTCAATTTGAGTTTCAATTCCAGCGTTTGAAAATAATGTAGTAGCTTCGGAAGAGCTAATAAACATTAATGTATTCCCTGTAATAAAACAATATTGAAATTTTAAATATTTATAGGCATCCTCAAAATTTTTGTGCGAATAATGAACAAAAATATTTTTACATATAACCTATAAAAATATATATTTGCATAATATACAAGTAAAAGAGTACTTACCAGGTTTTTATTGAACCAGAATATTTCCTGATGGATCCGTGATGACATTTCCGTTCGGCTCAGTTACAAGCACGTATTCCATGTTTTTTATATTAAAATATACAACCGCAAAGCAAGAAATATGTCGTATGCACAAGCGCATAAACATTCCAAGAATCGTTCCGTTTCACGAGACAATCTCGGTGTGTGACGTCACACTTCGTCTGGACAAACACTCCGGCATACGGAACGCACCCCAATGGTTCTACCCAGACGTATTTACTAAGTATATCGATAATCACGAGTAAATACGAATATCCCTCGTTGTAACTTTTGAGATTTCGGAGTTCGATCAAATCAGCCTCCCACAGATCGTCGATATTCGTTACGTTGTAATGCATTCGTGGAAATTTCCGTCGCAATGGACGATGCAGTGTGTAAGCGTCTTGCGCTTTGAGCCATCGCACGACATTGTTACAGGATAAATTCGCCGCGCGAAGATTATCGACAGTCGAATAGCCCGCATAATGCGCAGGATCGTAGTACAATTTTTCAAGAATCGTCATTCCAATTTACTCCATTTGGGCGTCTCGCTGCCGGAGAATCCGTGTTTCTCTTCGGAGTGGAACTCGCCGCAGGATCGGTAAGTTTCGCGATATTTCGCGAAGAACCGGCTGTTAATAATTTTTTATTTCTCACTAGTGCGGAGGGAATGTTCAAGTAATCGTGCGAACTGAACTCTTCCCGCAGCTTTCATGGTTTTTCTATCGCGCATCGCCTCGTTTATCAGGTCATTAATATTTGAATTTTTTACGACGTTACCGTCTATAGTCACGACTCCATGCTCATCCCAACTAATTCTAGTCGAAGATGCTTTATCGAGCAAGTGTTTTGCCAATAAGCGAGTTTCGCCACGGTAAGATTTCGGTACGTTTTCCACTATTCTTTCGACGCTTTTCAACACCTCGAGACTTATGTCGTGTTCTTTCGGGAGGCTTCTCGTACGACTAGAACCCGGAGCGAATGGGCCCGTGAGATCGTGCACCGGTACTCCTTTACGAGTGTCCATCGCATTTTCGTCTTTTTCCTCTTCTTCTTCTTTTTCCTCGGTGTTACGCGTGTCGTCCTCTTGATGTCGTCGTCCTCGTGCTACTCGTACAAAGTGAAGATATCGCCAAAGAACCTTTTTGTACATCTTCCATCTCTCGGCTTCGTCGTTCGGATAGGGCGAATTCGACTCATCTCCGTATCGAGTCTGGATAGAGGGGTTCCGGGTGTTTGCACGGAATTATTATTATTATTATTATTATTATTATTATTATTATTATTATTAGCGCTTTCGTTGTTTTCCGGTGCGTTTTCCACTAGCGGTACGCCGTCGGTAGTCGGCTGCGGTTGATGTAATTGACGCTGCATTTTCTCGAGATTTTCCGTAGAAATTAAAACCATTTTTTTCACCCTTTCCATAACACTTGATATTATTTTCTCTCTTGTGTTTTAATCCGTCTATAATTCGCGAAAATAAGACCTCTAATAGAGAAACGATAATATAGGATAAGAATCCACCTCGTTGAACCAATAGCTTTCTTTTATTCTTCCAATTTCCTCGTTTTGACGCGATATGACGCAGCGTCGTTTTGTATTTGCTCAAACAATTTTTTTCGCGTCGTTCGAGCGCTACGTTACCATTGAGTGGGTTGAAAACGCATTCGCAAATACAGCGAATAAATTTTTCGTCCGCGGTCGCAGGAAGGAGGTGCGTTGATTTTTGTTCAGATGACACAACGCCTCTAAAAGACAAACGTTTCTCTTTCCGATCGAACGTCTAGCGGTTTTCGTTGCACTGCCTGACGCTGCTACCGTTTCTTTCATCGTGAGAAAGTCTCTCGCAACTGCCGTCTCGCGCATGGTGTAAGAAACAAGGTGTGCTCATTCCTCGAATGCATTTTCGTCACGTTCTGCGCAGGGAAGGGAAGGGGAAGCGTGACAAGATTCCGCCATCTTGAAAATCACCAATAGAAACGCGACAGGTTTCGAAGTGCCACGATAAAGAGGTTATACGTGCAGTTTTTGTAGTGCTTTATAGCGTTTTTATTATTTACGTTCGAGAAATAATATTTTAAAATGCCGTCGTGTGCGGTAAAAAATTGCAAAAACAATTCACGAAATACCAAAAATACCGGTATAAGGTATTTTTCATTTCCAAAAAACAAAAATATTAAAATACCACGGGAGGTATTATTATGTTTAATTCGTACGCGCACTTATATTAGAGTGCGAATTATTAATAAACAAATTTCGGCCGAAAACCATAAAAGAAAGTATAATAAAAAAATATCAAAATTTACTAACTGTACAGTTACTAAGTAATTTAAATGTATTAATATTTTTTTGTATTTATTGCCTCTTACATTTGTCATTTAATTTATGTTAAAATATATTTACAATAAATATTTATATTTATATACATTTTTCAAAAACTTGTTCAACTTGCTTCAAATACCATTTAAATTCTACAAGATGGCGGAAACTTGTCACGCTCTTTTATTGGCTAATAAAAATGCCTGCGCACGAGCACACCTTGTTTCTTACACCATGGTCTCGCGAGCCCTAGTACATACTTTTTATACGCTGGAGAATGATCTGCACGGTACGTAGATGTAATGCAACGCATCGGGAAAGATGCTTGTTCGAAATCGATATTTGTCCGGAATCGATTGTTTCAGATCGAGTAATAAATATTCGTAAGGGCGTGAGGTTGCGTCAAAGTATGCTTCTTCTAGAAACTTTGGGTCATCGGGGTACACCTGTTGCGCGAGATGGCAAATTTGAGCGCAATCAAGCGGGTTCTTGAAGACGACGATGTAATTGGTATTAAGCGATATATCGCGCTGACAGCGTCTCTGGTGAAATAGATTTTGCGTGATCAAGAGACACGGTAGTGTCTCGCGCCAAGTTCACGCGCAGCGCAAGACCGACCGTGTATCTTTACGCGAGCACATGAGCTGATAGGAGTCGAGATTTTCATATCTCAATAATGCGTGGACCGATCGAATTTATAATAGGCTCAATCGATAGAGCACATGCGATTTACATAATAAAAATATCTTTACTTTTTTTGTACATGCTTTCTAAAAAATATATTATTAATTGCCAAAGTTTGCCAAAGTCGAAATATGCCGAAATCTATGTAAGTCTTGGTCGTCGTCGTCTGTTCGTCATCCTTCTCTAATATATAAGTTTTTCCTTTGTCAACTAGAAGCATCAAAATGCGACATGGTTGTCCTTTTCTACATCCCGTGAAATGTCAATTCCCGCATAAGAGCGTCTTTTTTCTTTCCTTTCTTTTTCTTAAAAGATTGTCTGTCCTTTTCCAACATGGCGGCGCTCAGACCTGTCAGCTTGCAGCTTTGATGACACTAATCACATTGATATAATTAATATCGGTCGTAAAATGTATATGTAACGTGTTGTGGAGACGAATAGAGATAGTGTATATCAAAATAATAGTATTCTTTATAAAAAAAATTTTTCTCGTCTTGAAGTGCAGAAGTGTAGCAACACACATGCTGACAACACTCTTAAAGGGAACGTTCACAAGTGTCCCCTCTCGATTTGATTCTCCTTGAAATATGTTGTAAAAC